GGCTTTCCAGCCCCCTATCAACAAAATTATCTTCACCTGCATCGCTCTGCACTCCCTCCTTCCCTTTCTTCCTTTTGGCCACTTGTTTTTCAAATAGTACTCTGAATGCCAGACCTTGTTGTTTCATTTATCTCCGCCCACTTTCTTTGCTCTCTCTTTAACCTTTCCCTCTTCACAGCATCTTTCCCTCCATTCTGAAAAGTACACTCAGTGATCTTTAAAATATATACATGTCTGTGACCCTTTTCTTCTGACCAGAACCCTTTCTCCTTTTCTAACTCAGTTGAGGGAGAACTCCACATGCATTCCCTTCCCATTTCCCATTACCTTCCTCAGTCAGCCTGCTGTAGTCTGGCTTCTGCACATTACCACTCTTCCAAAACTGCTTTTGCGAAGGTCATCAATCACTCACTGCTAAATTGATTGTGCTTCTTAACTGACCACTCTGCAGCATTTAACACTGTTGACCATTTCCTCTTTGAAACTTTGTCATACCTCGGTTCCTGTTAACACATCTTCCTCTCCCACCCACCTGGACCTTCCTTTTTAGTGTGCTTGTTGAGCTTCTTTTTTTGCTTATTGCTTAAATATTGATATTCTTCAAGGATGTATTTAGCCTACTCTTGTCTTCATCTCATTCTACGTATCCTCCCTGGGTAACGGCATCACCTTCTGTAGCATCAGCTACTCCCTCCATGCTGATTGCTCCCAAATTCTCTCTGTAGCTTGGCACTCTTCTGAGATGCTAGTCTGATACAGTTGCCAGTTGGTCAGACATACTTGTAAACCCCACAGGTACTCATTATGTCTAACCTGTCAAACTGTCCAAATCAGAATATGTTTATTCAAATATAAAATGGCAGGCGGTATCCCCTTTCTATGATCATGGATGTTGTGTGCACCTTCCCAGTAATTGAACCAGAAGATTGCTTTGGGAATGTGGAAGCAGAAAGGGGATATGCAGTCTAGAAGCTATTTTAGCCAGACTGAGTGAGGTCTAATGAACAGTCCTAGTGTCCAGATCATTTGTCCCTTTCTCTCCTAGACAGTGCTAGACACATTCTATAGAAGTTTGCCACTCTGAGCCCTGCTTTTTGACACATTCTTTCCTTTGTTGTGTTCCTATCTCCTGTGCAGCTCCTCCAGTCACAAAGCTACTCCTGTGGGTCTAGGATCCCCTCACCAATTTTAGTAGTCAAACCATGAGGAAAACTTGGTTTGCTTGTCTCTAAATTTATAAGGCAGACACCTTTAGCCCCAACCCAGTGTATCACCTACAATCTGAAACAAATAACAGATTCTACTTGAATAGGAAATGAGAAATCCTCTAAAAGATATCTTGACAAAATCATTTTTAAGGATATATTGATTTTTTAAACATGGTTTTATGTAAACACTAGAGGCCCAGTGCACGAATTCATGCATTGGTGGGGTCCTGGGTTGGGGCGGGGGGAGGCGG